CTAGAAGTGAATGCTAGCCTGTGCAAAGGTAGGCCTATTTATACACAGATTTTCCCGCTTATTATTGCAGGAGAGATTTCATCGAAAATTCGAGAGACATTCGCGAATTTTGAGAAATAAGTTTTCTTAATTTACAAGTAAATAACCATTAATATTAAGTTTTTAATACATGTAAATTTTACAGAATTTGTTATTTGTTGATTTTATACAATATACAATTATCGCCAATAGTGTCGTCAAAAGTTATTAACTAATAAAGTTAATTAACGTGATATTACATTATTTACAATAGAAAATTATTAAAATTTCATATAACTTTATAGTTGATTAATTTTGGAAGTATTTTCCAAAATTAATTATTTAAATTAATTAATAACATTTGAATTATGACTAATTTTTCATATTTGTAACGGTTTTTTCTAATCTTAATATGCAATTATTAGATTAATTATCTAAGATTTCTAAATTATAAAGTTATCATTATCAAGTATTAACTTAATATTTTCGTTCTATATATGGCTTATTGTTTAAATAAATTATTAATTGTTTATTTATCTATAACAGTTGTCATTCAACTGTTATTAATGAAACCAATTCTTACTCATGTTCTATGTTTATTCACTTTGCGTATAACTTATTTACATTTTTGTAATATTTCATATGTTAATAAATAAATCAACTTTGCATATTGATATTCATTATTATTTCATAGTTGAATGAGATTTTTGTTATAATATTATTAATCTACATGCTAAAATCTATATAATCGATACTTTGTTATATTAAAATTATCTATAATTAACATATTTTTCTTAATATCATGAATCATTATGTCTATGTCTATTATTTTGTGACGTCACGCTGTTTATTTTGATTCGACTTTTATTTGTATACAGTCGCGTAAACAGTGAGGTAGCGCCGCTTAATGTATTGTTTTGACTAAACAGATAGATACGTTAGACTAGTTGCAGTCATTCAGTGATTTAATAAATAGCTCATATATAGGACCGTTACAATAAATACCACAATGTTTTATAAGAAATTAATAACAAGGTATTTTCTCGGCCAATGATATGGAGACCCCCGCCAGACCATGTTACTGACTGTTACTTCTGCTTAAACTTGAAAGGGTACAACGGAAAGAATAAGGATTCTGTTTCATATGCATGTGTAACATCTGTGACTTTACCAGTTCTTATTGAAACAAATTCTGATGATCACATCATAGAAATTAATAAATCAGAACAAGAAATGGCGATTGATAAAGATATTCCAGATGAAACATTCGAACTTGAAGAAAGAGAAAATTTTAGCTCATAAGAATCAGATGTTGAAAAAAATATATCGGAAGCCAAAATGTTTAATCAATATGAATTAAGTGATCTCTGCAGAGACTTGGGAGTCTCGAAAGATAGATTAGAGCTTTTAACATCTACGCTAAAGGAAAAAAAGTATCTATCTACAGAAACAAAAATTTCTGGCCATCATTGAGAGAATGTCCACGCAGAAAATATTTTACAGCAATGAATAATCTAGTCTATTGCCATAATATTGAAGAATCAGTACAAGAATACGGTATAGAATACATAGCAAGTGATTGGCGACTGTTTATAAATTAATCAAAAAGAAGCTTAAAAGCTATCTTGTTACATAATAGAATTATTTCTACCCCTTTACCAGTCACGCATTCTATTGTATTAAATGAAAAATACCATAAATTTTCAGTTGCTATTGCAAAAATTGAAGTACAATCAAAACCAGTGGGGACTTAAAAACATTAAAAATATTACGGGGATAGCAAACTAAAAACATTTTGTATCCTTGCTTTATTTATGAGTGAAATAGTCGGGCTGGAGATGAGCATTATGTGAGGAAAGAGTAGTCTTTGAGATAAGAATTAATTCCAGAAAAAAAAAATCATAGGTCTAAGTTTGATATCATCTAATAAGGTCCTACTTCCACTTTTGTATGTCAAACTAGGTATTGCAAAGCAAATTGTCAAGACCATGAGCCAACGAAAGTTCGGCGTTCATGCATATTTTTCAAATGCTACCTAATCTTTCAGCAGCTAAAATCAAAGAGGACATACGAGGGTGGTCCGATAAATACTTAGTCTACAAAAGAAAAACGAAAATTTTGGAAAAGTGGCGTTTTATTTTTCAACATAGTCTCCTTTTAGTTCGATACACTTGGCCCAGCGATGCTCCAACTTCTTTAACCCGTCTGAAAAATACGTTTCCTCGAGGTCTGAAAAGTAGGCTTCCGTGGCAGCGATTACCTCCTCATTCGACTCAAATTTCTGCCCGGCGAGTGACTTTTTCAAGTTTGGAAACAAAAAGAAGTCGCACGGGGCTAAATCTGGAGAATACGGTGGATGGGGCAGCAGTTTGTAGTCTAATTCGACCAATTTGGCCATGGCGACGGCGGAGGTGTGAACCGGTGAGTTGTCATGGTGGAAAAGCACTTTTTTCTTCGCCAAATGGGGCCGTTTTTTCTGCAATTCGACGTCTAATCGGCCCAATAATTCGGCATAGTACAGCCCTGTGACCGTTTTGTCCCTCTCCAGGTAGTCGATGTAGATCACACCTTGTGAATCCCAGAAAACGGTGGCCATCACCTTTCCGGCCGATGGGGCTGTCTTCACCTTCTTCGGAGCACTTTCGCCGGGTAAAGTCCACTGTTTCGACTGTTCCTTGGTCTCTGGTGTATACCAGTGGATTCATGTTTCGTCGACTGTCACGAAACGACGCAGAAACTCCTTCGAATTGCGCTTAAACAGGGTCAGACATTGCTCTGAAGTTGTCTCACGGTTGCGCTTGTTGTCCGGAGTGAGCAAACGCGGCACCCATCGCGCCGATAGCTTTCTCATGCCCAAAATTTCATGCAGGATATGACCGACGCCGTCTTTTAAGATGCCTACGATCTTAGCTATCTCGCGCACCTTCGATCGTCAATCTGCCAATATGAGATTATCCTCCGTGGTAGCCGTTTCCGGAGCACCTGGACGTGGCTCTTCAAAAATCGACGTGCGACCACATTGAAACTCGTTAAACCAATTTTTGACGGTCGCCATCGAAGGAGAAGAGTCACCGTACACAGCATCCAAGCGCTTTTTGATTTCGCTGCTCGATTTCCCTTCCAAAAACAAGAATCGAATCACCGACCGATACTGCTCTTTCCATTTTTCAAAAATCAACGGACACACTTGCTTTCACACACTCTCAATAATAAACTACAACTCCGATCCGGCTGAAATCTTGACAGTAACCATCGAGAAGGTTGTACTACGTGATAGAATATTTTTTTTGCGAGAGTGGCGCCACCGGGCGGTGAGGCTAAGTACTTATCGGACCACCCTCGTATTTAGTGGACCACAAAAAGAGACCTCCTAAAAAATGATGCATTTGAGAAGAAAATAACTGCAAAAGAGAAAGTAGCATGGCAAAGTTTTAAAGAGGTGGCGACTAAAGTTCTCGGAAATCATAAAGATCCTAATTACAGAAATATTGTTGGAAATTTAATACAAAATTATAGAAAAATGGGGTGGTTAATGAGTCTGAAACTGCATTTTCTCCATTTACACCTTGATTGATTAACTGAAAATCTCCGAGATTTAAGTCAAGAACATAGAGAAAGAATGCATCAAGACTTGAGTGAATTTGAGAAAAAGTATCAAGGTATCTAGGGGATAAATATGTTGGCAGATTATTGCTGGAACCTGAAGCGAAAATCAAATAATTCTAACTAAACAAAAACAAGTCGAAGATCATTTCACAAGAAACGAAAGCATTCTCGTTTAGAGTAGTACTTCATGAACAACGTAAGGAGCAAGGGGACTCGAGGAAATAAAGCACCCCAATGTGACAGCCAAGGGGACTCACGGAAATAAAGCACTCCAAGTGAATCGAGAACTTGCCACGTCCAGGTCGTCGATTCTGCGTAACGCTAAGAACAATGATATGGCTTAGCAGAACTTTCGAAGTGAAAGGAACGCTCTGCATCTATTTTTCTATTTTTCTCGTATTCAGCCTACTATTGCACAAATTTATACTAAATTTGAGGAAACGAAGAAACAATTAAAAAATAAAAATTTCATAATAAAAGAGCGACTGCAAAGATTAACTTAACCTTTACCTGTCATTGTTCAATGTCAAACGTACTCCCTGCATCTCTTTTCTCATTTGAATTCGAATTCAGAACTCAAAAAAATGTGTATATCAATTTAGAGACTAAAATACAATAAAAAGAAATTTTTTGTGAATGGCTTTTTTACTGAGAATGGAGGTGGTCCCTATAGGGACAACCTGCCAAGCTAACCGTTCGTTCTAAATAATTCGGTAAAGATTTATAACAATTATGAGATAAATCGACATTCAATTTGAACTTTATTTTCTTCACTCTTAAAAGGTTAATTTCTTTACAATAACCAAGCAACATAAAAAACATTTTTGATTGTGATATATTATTGTAAATTTAAGATGAAATGTATAAGATATGATCAATAAAAATGTACAGTAAATTAACCTATATATGCTTCGCAATTGTATTATAACAACAAAATTAAATTAAATAACGAAAAAGGACCATAAATATTTTTCAAATGAACCTAAATGGATGATGGAATGATCTATAATGATCTATAAGAGGTTATATGTATATAAATAACCTCTAAAATGTGGTTTGAAAGAAACAAACTATGGATTCGAACTCAGGGACCTCAAAAACATACGCATGAATTTTTTCACATTTTTTTGTAGAATTATGTCAATTTGATTTTCAAATGAGCTCGAACCTGATGTGATGAAGTTAAACCAACCTTCTCATTGTATTCAGTGACCCGAAAAACGCCCTAAGCACTATATCGCTCAGAGTGTTTTTTTTTCGATTAAATATTAACCTGTCTAATTTATTTAAAATTTATAATGCCTAAATGTAAGCTCATACGCTTATTAATTCTATCTTGATCTAAAAAATAAATGAACATTTGTTGCAGCTGTCAGACTTCGATTTCCAATTGGAACTTCATGGTAGACTTGAAAACATTGAAGATTTCCAACATTCGATAACCATATTACTTAAAATTCTGACATACAATTTAGATCCATTAAATGAGATAGGAGACGTTAAAAATACCCCAAAAACACACAAGTTATATTCCACTGTGAATCATTTTTTTGGGAGTCAACTAGGACTTTCAGTGATATCAAAAATCATGACACAAATTATCAGCATGAGATTTGCCGTTTGCAGAAATTTGTTGATTCTGCAACGAATAGCGATGGATAAACAGAAATTATTCGATTCCAGATCTGTTAATAACATTAAGTCATCGTTAGTAACTAGATCTATTGTATTAACTCAGGCATATTATGTACTAATGTGGATATGTGAATCAAATGCTTCAGTTACTCCTTCACAAGCTCTATTGTAAGTAAAATATTCTACAACATACTATTAATCCTTTTCTATGATATGAAAAAAAACTTTTCTAAATAATTGCTATGTCCATTTCTATTGTGAAATTTTTCAGTTAAAATCATACTATTTAAAATATTTGCTAGATCACTTTAATAGCTAATAAAACTGTGCTCATATTTTTCATGTGTTTATAACGAGCGGCTTGTAGCTTGTTATATCTCTCTCTCTCCCTGAAGCCATCAATAAATAATCATTTATAATTAACTATGTACTAAAAATTTATAAGACGTTTCAGCGCCGAGTAGACGTCAGCCAATTGATAAGTGACGAACTCTTCGATCAATTACATTGGCCGACAGTTTTTAGATTCCGAGATCAGACATAGTGTACCCGAAGAAATTTGATGCGCTAAATCTGAATCTGGCCTCAGAATTGATCCAACACTCTCAGTTTCTAAGATATTCTAACCTAAAAGTGTAAAAGAGACTGTTTTTCGCTGTTTTTGGACTCTTCTCACGTCGTTAATTTCCATTCTAGTCAAAAACTAAAAAGAGCCTTCAAAAGGACAAATTGTCTATTTTAAAAAACACTACCTAATTTTTTCAATTTAAATTTTTAAAGCGGAGATATCGTTCTTTGAAATAGAGAAAATTTGAGTTTTCAATGGTACTATAAACTACATGAAAAAGGATCTGAGATGTGTCAAAATAGTGTGATATTACTTATCACCTATTATTTGTATTTAGTTCGTACTCTCGTGGTCTGTTACGTTATTGAGTAAAAATTCGTTTAAATTGAAGTAATGATATTAATATTGAATTTGAAAATTAAACTTCTGCAATGAAATATATGTGATTGTTTGGAGTGAAATTAAGGATAGATAGATTTGCTCTAGTTTCTTATGGTGCGAAGCGTCTCATAAGCAGAGCCTAAGTCTTCCTTTGAAGAAGTATGTGGTCATAGCGTGAAGTGTTCTATGAGTCGAGCATAAATCGCAATAGGGGTAGAAAGGCTTGCTCAGCTAATCACAAGAGAGAAATAACTTAGATATAAGCTAAGCTTATTCCGTTTCAAGCGCTCACTTTGCAAGGCTAGGAGAGAATACCTTTCACCTGTGCAAAATTGAGCCTATTTATACAAAAATTTTAGAGCCATTTACGTAGGATAGCCCTTTTCACGCTATTTCTGCAAATGTGCAAAATCATTTTCTCTTGTTTACAATAATATGGACGATGGTAAAGAAATTTGAAAAAATACAGGATTTAATATAGATAATTCAAGTATAATTTGCACTTATCGTGAAAGTCGTAGTTAAAAGTTATTAACTAACAAACTTAGTTAATTCAATTGCGCAAATTTTACAATAAAATAATTGAAATTTTTTACATAGAAAAATAACTTATCGATTATAGACATCATTTTCAATAAAAATACTTAAATTGTTTAATAATATTTGAATAATAAATAATTTATATTTTTCGCCAAATCTTATAATGTAAATATAAAAACCGCTAATTAAAAATTATCAATTCTTACAATTTTGTTAGTAAGTACAAAATTAACGCTGTGATGATGCGTCATCGCGGTAAAATTGACCTACTAAACTCACGCGAGATCCTCTCCAGATAAGAGGATACGGACCGATCAGCTGATGCCATCTAGATCACACGCGCGCATATCCGAGATCTCGCAAAAAACATTTCTCAGGGTCTACCAAATCGACGTGCACGACCCTTACGCCCGCGCACAACCACTCGCGCACTCATAACCCGGACCGACACTTCTTCAGGAAGCCAGACAACGAAAAAGATCGCAGCCGAGATCAGCTGATCCGAGACAACTGATAGCAAGCTTGAGCTAGACTGAGAGAGGGACAACCGAGCGCGTGAGAGTGAGCAAGATAATCGATGGGAGAGCGATCGGGTGCGAGCGAGGGGAAATCGGTAGGGCTAACGAGCGTGTGCGTGAAAGAAATAGTTGATAACGACGCGAAACCGACCGACGTGCGCGACTTGACTAATCAATCGGTAATAAGATAGAGGTAGATCGACAAATAGAGTAAAACCGACGCTATGTGACCAACAAATAGGGAAATTAGGCGCCAAAATCTGGCCAGTAGTAAAATTGTGCGGGCTAGAACATTAAAATAGACGGCGATGATGACTGGGTTAGCAACAAAATTGACCAATCAGATAAAAACCCAACCTACGATGAAAAGGGGAGGTAATCGAGGAGACGCGACGCGACTCCGCGAAAAGCTGCGGCAGTGTTAGTAGAGCTCTGGCTGCGCGCGGAGGCCTGAAGAGACATAGTGACAGTGAACAAAGCATTAGTGATTGAACAAAGAGATAACCATAGTAACATTAGTATTAGCAGCAGCATTAATATTGACAGTATCAGCAGCATTAATAGTAATAGTAGCAGCATTAATAACCAAGGGAATAAGAGTGAGTATTTTTCTTTCTTTCTTTCCTTTCTCTTCGCGCCCAACCATAACCGAGACCGCTGTCGACCAACCCTAGTGTCGCCTGACCTTTGCGTAATCGCCGAATTACTCGCGCATCGACGTGAGTGCCGCCTGACCTTCGCGCGATTGCCGAATTACTCGCGCGTTTATTAGAGTGTTGCCTAACCTTCATGCAATGACCGTAACAGTCCGCGCATTAATCTATGCCGCCAGACCCTTTGTGCGATCCCCGAGATTGTCCGCGTATTAACCTGCGTCGTTTGACCTTCGCGCGATTGCCGCAAAAGCAGATCGCTATCGCGTCGCGGTTCGCCATCCGTGAGCCTTTTAAGGGAATTTGTACGAGGTGGACCGCCGTAGATAGGTTTCTTGCGCCGAACAAAGGGAAGCCGAATTCCGTTGAGGACGCGATGACCAGATGCTATTAGTACTCCCCACCCCCCCATTTCCCCCTTTTACTTCGACCTACGATATGACCGACCTTGGTCTGACCCGGGTATATATATAGAACAGATTAGTATTTATTAAGAAATAAAAATTTCCGCCGAAATTCTTTGTCGTCATTGACTCAACCTTAATCAACTTTCCGTATCCCCCGTAGCTATCGCGATCGGGTGCCCGAAGCCGGCGAACGCATCGACGCGTCAACGCCATTTTCTTCACGCGATTGATTCGTCCGAATTCTTCACTGCCCCTGGATTGCTGACTCGGCGCCCTGAGACGCCGCTCTGACGACCCGCTGCTGAGAAAAGAGTCCCTGCTCTGACATATTAACTAGCCGTTGCCCGTAATTTTCCTCGCACGTTGAATAGGACTTCTCGCTTCCTTTTTATATCTTATAGGTGGCCAGCGAGGCCAGCGTCAGGAGGAAGCAGCGAAGCACCCGACTCTTCAGCGACCAGAACCAGCCGATCTGCAACGCTACCCGCCCTCCTAACGCGAGGACGGTAGCTGGCGTCCAATAAATAATAAAGCTGCAACTATTGGCTAACTGCGCCGCTGGTGGCAGCTGAGGCCATGAAAAATTTGTATAAATCATTTTTCCCTGATCCTCTCCCGTCACAACGCTTTCGATTAATATACTTTTATTTGTTTAGATAAATTATTGAATTTTTATTTATTGTGTAACGGGGTGTAAATTCCGTTTTATTTCTTTGTCTTGTCCGATGCGCAGTCGTACCGGAATGCGCGTGGCGAGATTGAAACAATCAAGTTTTGTTAACTAACCGAAGATCAAGAGAGGACGGGTGTCAGTCAACCAACTTATTACTAGCAAAGACAACAATAAATTAATGTTTCAATCATACATGAGCTAGTATATTTTCTATGTAATCTACAATACGCTTGGCCCGTGCTTATGCGGCGCGCGCGACAATCTTACGCATCGGCATGTCGTTTATAGTTTCTCATGGTTTATCTTTGACGCTGCTAATATCCTTAAAACGTCTTATTGTTTGTTTGACAGTTGATCTTGATATTGAAGCCAAACTATTTCTAAAACATTCATTAAAAACATTTTTTACCTTAGCAAAAGATCGTTTAAGCATACCAGAACTTTGCATTATTAAAATTTGTATTTGTACTTTTCCAGAAAATCGCTGTACTGTGATATAAAAGAAAATTAGTAGAAAAGTATATGAGATCACTGGAAGTATCAAAAGTTACTCGAAGTCACAAATAGAAATTTTTAATTATTCCGAAAAGAAATGAATAAAAATTATTCCAGAATAATTAGCTCAAGTTTAAAACTAATTGCTCAAAAATTCTACTATAAAATGTTTACAATAGATATTTTTTTAACTATAACCTTCGCGGGAATCAGATTAAAATGTTATTCACATTGATAACGAACGGTGATTTTGACAAGCGTCGAACTAGGAAATGGCTTTCTGAGGTAGAATGATGCAATAACTGAAATATCCAATAGTAAAAGTTTTCAGGTTGGCAGTTACTCATGTTTTGGTGGTTACAAAATTCAAATTTCAGGTTAGTTTCTCATTTAACATGTAACAATTTTGTCGCGCTGCTACCTATTTTTAAAGGGGAAGGTAAGAGAGGCGTTTTCGCTCTGAGGAGTAGGCAGGAAAATAAGCCAATTTTATTAACACCAAATGACAAACCTTTTATTACCTTATAATTCCAACAAACGCGCGCTTATACTAATAAAAAATCTAAGCACCTTAATCGTACGTCTACAACATAATGCACCTTAACCGAATAACAAACTTATTCTAACACAAAGAAACTTGTAAAGTAGTCGGCGAGTGATCGCCTGGCTACCACGCACTTACAATTAAATGAAACACGCAATACAAATTATTGACGAAGAGGAATTAAACAAAGGTAGCCGCCAAGTGATGGCCTGGGTACCTCATAATTCGCGAGACCGCACATCACTGCGAGAGAGAGAACAACCGGGGGAAAGAGATAACCTAACCTTTGTTTTCTCCTCGATGATCCCTGGGAGGCGAAGATGGTAACTGCAGGGTAGGCTGATAGTCCGCTTTCTCGTCGTTGTCGCTGCTGCAGGTGGTGTGCGCTT